GCGCCACTAAGCGTGATTCCGCAGGCTAAGTGCAAAGCGTTACAACAAAACAAAGAACTCGGAAGCTCGACAACCTTGTTGACGATCATCTTCGTGACAAGCGACAAAGTAATATTAACAAAACAGTTTAATTCTACATCCTAGTAATACGGTCTATAAATATACTACTTATATAAATAATTGTCTTTCCTCTTCCTTTTCCTTATACAGCAAGAACTGGAAGAGATCCTGCAGGAACTTTAGACGGACGTTTAAATGGGATGTAGAGAGCGTATTAGGCAATAAGGCGCTACCATTTAGTTTAGTTTCGAATTAGAATAACGAAGAAGGCTTTTTTCCCGCGCCGTATAAGGGAACGAGCACTTAATAGGCTCCATAAAAGAAGCGCCGCTTGAACTCGTGTGAGTAGATAAATTGCAACTAATCTTATCGTAACTAATGTTATTTAATAATTAGTTCAAGTTGTTTGGTAAGAGTTATTTTAAAACAAAAATGTGTAAGAAAAATAAATATATATTTTATCTGTAAGGAACAAGTTCGATGACGTGTTTATTAACCATAACCAAATACGCTTTATAAGACGTTAACACAACTAATTTCACGACTAATTGCCACATTAAACTGAAAGAGGATAATACAAAAATTTTAATAAAAAAAAACTTAATCTAAGTACGAATAGTTGAAAAAAAAACCTTGTTTAAGTACCAATAAATTCCGTAAACAATTTTATACATGATCAAAGTGTATTGAATTAAACAGCGATCGATCTCGGCTGTCAACCGGCGAAGTAAAAGCAGTCACTCTGCCAACAGAGAAGTGGGTTGCCCGTTAACATCTCGGCTCTTACCTCCGATACCACGGCTTGTTGACTCATCACAAATATTCAGTGTTTCATACTCTAATGTGCTCTTCGTAATTCCTTTCTCGGAACACATCGCTACTCTATGTCTATGTGGCTTACATATAAATTGCTTATTTATATCGGATTGATTGCCAACGGATTCAAATACTATCTAATATTACTAACTACCTATAAAGATATACGAAACTTTTCCTTTACTCTATGTAACTATTTTTAAGCAGATAGTTAAACTTTCTTGGATTTGAAAACGTTAATTATTCTTAGAGAAGATATATTTCGCCAACGAGCTGGAAAAGTATATCAATTAAAATAGACTATATAATATCAAGATGAAATAACTATAGTAACAAAAAGTGTAAAAAATGTACTAGAAATTATACAGCCCTTGTAGCCAAGGAGGTCTATAATAATCTCTTTATGAACCGTAACTACAGTCTAAAGAAACCGAAGCTCTATATTAAGATGGAGCTACAAAAATAATAATGACGCAAAAAGGTAACATAATATAAGGGCTTCGTTCGTTATAAAACGTATAAGAAAAGGATATTTTTTAGCGTGACAAGCCGGCGGCGGTTCGCGGAACCTTCACCCTGCACTTGAACCCGCCTGACTCGCGCCCGCGCCCGTGCGTCCTCGCCCGCTCGCCCGCACTCGCGCCCGCCTTTGCGTAATCGAGCGTATCGGAATCGCCGTTTCGCACTCCACGCTTTGTATCTGTCACCAGCAAATCGTATACCTCGTCCGTTTGTAATTTGCCAAGGCAAATTGTACAGACAGGTTGACGTGTTATGTTTCGGCAATTGATAGTTGCACTGTAATCAGTACCCACCAGTCCGCAATGCTTTATTGTCTGCACCGAAAATTAAGACACTTTTACAAAGCGTCGAAATGTCACTTTTTGAATTCATTTGATTTGTAATATGCTGAGAGTTTGGCCTAGGCAAATTAGAAACTTACGGCGTCCACGATTTGCCAGTGACATCTTCCGTAGAACAGAGAGCGTCTAATCTAAGTTTCCTCCTTATTGCTAATGCTAACCCTAATCTCGTTAGCGTTGCTCGTTATTTTCCGTTACATCCCATCTATACTCCACAGTTTTAGCTTTTTAGCTCTAACTTTATATTCAAAGGCAATTTTTATAAAAAGCTTTTGCATAAGAAAGCTTTTAACCTATTTCCATAGCTGGTTCACTCAAGAACAATATTATTTTTAATTGCAATTGGATTTTTTATACTGTATCACATCCTTGAAAAATCTTACTAATATTATAAATACGAATGTTTTGATGCATGGATGGATGTTTGTTTGAAGGTATCTCCGGAACGGATTCATGGATCTGGCTGAAATTTGGCAAAGATGTAGATTGTAGTCTGAAAGAATACATAGGCTAGCATTAAGTTTTTTTTTAATTCCACGCGGACGGAGTCGCAGGCCACAGTTAGTAATACAGCTATATTGGTACGTACAGAAACTCTATTACATTTTATTTCATTGCATAATATTTACTAGCACCTAATGTACAAAAAACTGTTGCCGAGAAGCGAAACAAGTTGGGCAGGATGACATTCGATGCGATTACCTTCAGGGTTGTTCGCAATTAACTTTGTTCATGCAAATGACACATTAGATATATGTTTTTAATTCTCTCCTTTGTTTTCGTATAACTTATAAATATAGTGATTTTGTATGGTATAATTGTTTTAAATTTCAAATTTATAACTATAGTTTAAACTTAAGTTGATATTTAAAAGAACAAAAATTAACAAACAAACTATAATTTAAAAACTGTTCTGTGTTTTACCGATAATTGTATGCAGTGCTAGAAACTTTAAGCAATAATACTGCAAATGAATCTGTCTAAATAAAAATGCAACTGCAATTCGCGGGTAAATGATTAGATTACTTCTTGCTGCCGAGATTGTAAGCATTACGTATTTAATTATTGAAATTTCTCGATATTTGCTTGATGCAATCTAAGTGTGTCATTATTTTGCATAAATTAATGCTTTCCTAATATATATTTACACAGCATTAACTAACGTATTATTGAGATAGGAACACTGGAAGAGATAAGACAACGAAAAAAAACATCGAATTCCGGTCTACTTTAATACTATTAATCTTTTCATAAATAAAAACTTGTGTAGGGAGAGAAAGAATTTTAAATATACTTAGAAATTTTTCAAAAAAGTAAGGTAATTAATTTACTTTAAATTTTTTGGAGAGGCTGTTGAAGTTCCTACAACTTTATGAGTTTAATAAAGACTGAATGCAAATTAATTGTTGAGGAGAGATATATCAGTGGCTGATCGCGAGCGAAGCGGCGCGGCGCGGCGGGCGCATGATTTGAATTCAATCAACTTTGTTGGCGCAATCGTGAATGATTAGCGGTGGTAAGTGTGAAATATTGCATCCGACACGGTCGGTATCGTGGCACGCGGCTGTGTCACTTACCAATACAAAGACTAGTCCATCGTTAAAATTCAAAACATTCTTTTAAAATTATGATTCTTTAAATATTTACGGGAAATCCATAAGTTATCAAATTACTACGAAAAGACTGAAATGGAAAGGAACCTGACATTGAAAATACGCTCACTTGACTCAATCTAAATGTTAGTACTGCGTCCGAAGGTAAAGGTGAATTATAAGGGACAATACACTAGGTATTTAAAGACTGTCTAAGATCACATACTTTCCTTTTTTTGTGAAGTTACAAAGAAAAACCTTCTCAAATAAATAACATATCCAGCTTTATAACTTATCTATGCATATTTATGTAACGACCTGTATAATCCACTTTACCTATATTACTTTTTACTGACTTAATGCAGTTCAGTACTTTCGACTTTTTGAGAAAAACTCCTTAAATCCTATTTTTATAAATCTTCAACCCGGGAAATTATAGTTTTTTTTTTTGGTTTTAGATAATTTCCGGACACCCTGTATAATTTTAAAGTACATAGTTCGGTGCACAATTCTGTTCTGAAGGGTGCATGATGTTTGAAGATGTGTATGAAAAACTTTTCCATTAACTTTTTACACGCTTTGTGTGACTTGTAGCTAGAGTACGGTAGCGCTCGCGATGCGCCAGAAAACAAAGATGAATAATGAATGATGCTAAGAGGGATGGAATGAAGGCAGTAAACGCGAAACAACTTTGACGAATAATACTTTAAAAGCTTTCTATGTGAAAATTCTATGAAACTTTCAAGAAAAAAAAGAAAGTAAAAAATAAATAATTCTATAATATTTTAATGTGAGTTTGCCGAAACAATTGCAAAGAAATATACAAAGGTAACAATGTATTTGTTCAAATAATGTAAAAAAATTTCAGCATCGAGTCTCCTACAGTTAAGTAGATAGATGTGATAAGAAGAAATCTCATAGAAAATCTTACAGAGAAGTTTTTAATTTTAAAGTAATCTTAATAAATGTTAGTGTTTTTTTAAACGTGCAATCAAAGATTTCAGAATTAATTTTTTACTAACTTTAATTTGCTAAAGTTTTTTTTTTAAATAAAGTTTTGAACATATTATAACTTTTCTTCTGTACCTATACATATAAGCTTAATGTTATTTCACTTAAAAGCCTTAAATCAAAAAGCTGAAATTTTTAATTATTATTTAAAGTGTTAAATTACAAAAAAGTTTTGTTATATTTAAAATCAACATCACAGCGCCATTAAAACCTAAGTATTATTATCATAGCTTATATTTCGTGTCATAACTCTCACAAATAAATATTAAGAAGTCTAATTATTATCATTCCTAAGTGAAGTCATTGAGAAAAATTGAAATAAATTTCTTTTATCTCTAAATCAAAAATAAATGCAAACATAAACTTTTACAAAGGCAACAAATTGTGCACCTGGTTTAATAAAATAATAAACCTTTGAAAAAAAGGTGTAAAAACGTTCAAATTAAAACTTAAGTGCAGCCACTCTTCAGACGCGTAGCGCCGGAAAAGCTCAACGGTTCGTTTAATACAAACGATTCTCAAAGAACCTCTGTTTGTGAGCGGGATCCTTTTGAAACTTTATAAATTTATAAACTGATGTCTTAAAGAATCAGTTAAAAATCTGTTTTAATTAAATTACTGTATAACCAAATTATACGTTGCAAAAAAAACAACTTACCTCTTTTCAGCAATGAAACAACTCCGCGCTGATGGTGGCGGCAAACGGCAATTCTGGTTGCGATGCGCGCTACACTGTCCGTGGCAGGAGTCGAGCTGTCGGGCTGTCGGGCTGTCGAGTTGTGTAAACGTTGTGCGTTCGGCGCGGCCGGGCCGGCACTGACGCGACGAGCGCGAGGCGAGCGCGCGATGCCGCGCTCTCGGAGGCTTCTCGGCCGAGCTTTCCGCGACACGACCCGCACGCACTGCACACTGCACTCGCCCGGTACCGCCTCTACCCACGCGATTGTTCTCTCCTCGATCGTCTAATGTCCCGAGCGCCCGTCGCACGTTTGAACTCTGCGCACTGCCCGCTTAACCGTATAAATATGAAGCCCGGTGGCGGGGGACGGCGCCGGCCCGCGACGCATCGCGAATCCACATCGGCATAAATTGAAGATGCAGCCGGTGTCCTCCACCATTGATTTTATTGCTTATCTATCAGTTACAGCCAATTAGCAAAAGCTCCACTCGGGCGGCGCGTCACGACCGCTTCCGTGTTCGCGCCAGCCGCGGCGTTATGTATACTTGCGGAATTACCATAGATGCCCGTTACCTGCCGTTGACAACGCGCAGATTACTTTGATCATTCATAATTATGTTGATTATCTATTCTATATCTCATCTGAGCGCTCCCTCTAGACACGACAGGCTCGTCGAGTGCCCGGTGAAGACGTTATGTTGCGGAAATGATCCCCGGCTCCTCTGATAATGCGACCGGCCGCAATAACATCCCGATATAGCAACAGCGTCGGTGTCGGTGTAGACTCGTCTGACCAGTGGGACTCTCGCGGCCTACGCTATAGCTCCGCAGGAACACCATTGCATTCGTAAGAGGAGAAACAAAGCGATAGTTTTGAAATAAAGCCCTCACTCTTGAGCCGGTGTACTGTAGTGACTGGTGGCACTTATCTATGCAATAGTTGTGCTATGATATTGCAGACGTGATATATGTCGCACTGTGTTTATATTGTTAAATTTATCTATTACTGGGATGCACTTTACACTTGTATAGTTACGTAGAATGAATTTTATGACCTACATTCTTTATTTTACAAAAATAACTTTAATACGTAATATGCTATATGTCATTTATATTTGTGTTTAGTTAACTCATAGTAATCATATATTTCAAATAACTACGTAATATAAGCAATATAAAAACGTACATACGTTCGGTACACGGAATATAAAATTTATGCCAAATAAAACAATTGATAAGATTCTTCCGTTGTAAAAATAATTACATCATAAAAAAATGTAACACGCCTAACAAATATAAAAATTGATAAACCTTACACACGAATAGGGCTAATTAGAATGTATAAATAGACTCTGAGTAGTCATTCACATAATACAATAATATATTGTAATTGAATCAAAAGGGAGCATACTATAAGCAGAAATGGCAGACGGACAGTAGAAGACATGCAATAAACATAAGATAAATGTAAACTAATTTGAATCCGTTAGATTCGGTTTTATACTGCGCATTGGATACTCCTTACTTAGATTTACAAGCAACTACTATTAACAAGTTAAGTACTTCGGATGATAATTTATGTCATATACTATTATAAGTGTCAATAGCCTAATGGTTAAGTGTACGGATTACCGATCACGAGGTCGGAGGTTCGAATTCAGCCATTCAACTATTGTCGTAAACCATATCCTAGTACACGCCTAGAGTTGGAATGGTAAGAGAAATATAAGTAAATTTACAAAAAAATCTGCTAATATTTTATTTAAAAAAATTAATAAATAGTACCTTTAAAGTACCAATACCTTACTTCTTACTAATATTATAAATACGAAAGTTTGGATGAATGGATGAATGTTTGTTTGAAGGTATCTCCGGAACGGCTCAACGGATTGTGATGAAATTAGGCGCACATGTAGAAAATAGTGTGGAAGAACACATAGTCTTTTTATTAAGTTTTTTTTTTTTTAATTCCGTGCACACGGAGTTACGGGCGACGACTAGTTATGTCATAAACCATACATTTAGATGTCAATACTCATAGAAAACATTTTTTTTTTAATCTGTACCTTCGAAGAAAGTATGACGACAATAAATTCTATATATCCTATGACGCCTGTCTATTTATAGTTGATGCGTTGTTTTAAAAATAGAGTTTTTTTTACTGGTATATACGTAAGTTATATTTTTTTAAGGAATAAGAATATTGTGTCAGATTATATAAAGCTAGTAGGCGAAATTTATTTGATAAGGCAACACTGTCATCTTTGAACAGGGAAAGGGAATTTTATCTAAAATTGAATCTATGTCCGAACAGATTTTTTTTCTACTGAAACCAAGTTTAATACAACAAAATATGCATATTGTTATCTGCTATTCACCCCAGCCTTTCCTTCTATAGAATGTTTTACTTTCGACCTACTCGTCAATCCTATAATAAAATAAATTAAAATTAATCCAGTCTGTATATTTCATTCTGTTTAACGTGATATAAATTCAAAGAGAGATGCTCATCATTTTAGATACTTTGACTCAACCATCTTGATAATTGCTATTCCACAAATGTGCGTTTTTCGTAAATTTACCGTTTTCGCTCGACACCATCTTGTAAAATTCGTCATCGCGGTATTTCCAGGTGATTTAAATTACTTTGTATGCATATTTATTTACATCAAAATATCTGTCCCATAATTCTTTATACTTCCCAATTTTCCCCACGTAAAGAGAAATTCCTACCTAATAAAAGTATTGCTACGAATTTATGACTTAAAATAAAAAGTTAAGTATTTTGTTCTAATATTTATATTAAAATTACCTATGTATGTAAACTAAGTAAAAGTTATTTATGAGATATATAAGATCGTCATTTAAAAGTTATATGATTTTAAAGCTATGGCCTTTTATTTTGAAAGCTGTACATAAATCTTTTGGGCGATAGGCGTTTAATTTTAACGTGACGGACTTTGTTTAGTTCCATACCTATCGACCTTGAAGAATCGTGGATAGCTCTTTCTGTTTAATTGAAATCAATTATTCGACAACTTATTTTTCATTTAAAGATTAATCTTTTCAGTATTTATTTTTAAGTGATAACCTTGAAGATTTTTTTGGTCAATACTTACGCAATAGTCTGGCATTAAATGAATACACGGAAATTACTTTCATCATTAAAAGTAAATAAATAATTAAGTTAACATTTTATTAACTATCAATCAATGCTGGCATGTAAGAATATAAAGAATTAAATTACTTTTAATTTGCGTTTAAACTCTCTAGTTAGTTAGCACATGTGAACACAAATTATTATAAAATCATACTAATATTATAAATGCGAATGTTTAGATGGATGTATGGATGTTTGTTTGAAGGTATCTCCGGAACGGATCAACGGATCTGGGTGAAATTTGGCATAGGTCTGGAAGAAGACATAGGCAACTTATTATGTTTTTTTTGCTATTCCGTGCGGACGGAGTGGCGGGCAAAGTCTAGTCACATATTAAAAAAAAAAAACATTTGTATAAATACGTAGTAAAATACCGTAACATAAATGCGTACATCTGTGGCAAATCATAGTGTATATAAGGTTTTTTTTTACATTTATTCATATATGCAAGTCGCGCCTAAATGTAGATTTATGCAACTCGATACACTGTCTCTGGGCTATGGCAATATCATGAGCGAAGAAACCGAATTTTGTTATTTTTGATATTCTCCATGTTTAATTACAGCATCAGAGTTTGTCATTTATACTCCACTTATAGTTCCAGAATTATTAAAGAAATCCATATAATAAAAGGTAAGAAATACGCCACCGCAGATACGGTTTTAATAAAACACGACAATATTATTGATAACCTTAATAAATCCAATAAAAAAGTGATGAAATCTTTGCAAATATTACCGGACATTAAATAGACAGGAATTAATTACTTTTTATTTGGATTATGACAAGTGACTGCTATATACGGCCAGTGACACCAAGAGACGCCATTTTTAGAGTACCGTACATAATACAAATTGTCCCGGACACACTCATTTCTGTGCTATAATTTGATATGTATATCGAAGGAGAGAATTGTAAAATATATTTGCTAAGTGTAAGGCGTGTGTAAAACACCGTGTCAATGTTCTATGTTGTTACAATTCTGTGTTCAAATTTTGTTGTCGTTTAGCAAATATATATTACAAAGATGTAATAATTCAAAGGCGTTTCGTGCTACAGTAATCTTGTTTAGAGCTACAGAACCCATTAGGAGTCGACATCAAACATACAACCGCTTGTTTACATTAATTAAAACGGTCTCAATCCCGACATAACGGCGGCTAACATTACTATGTTAATTTATTATTAGGGTATTTTCTTTGCATCCGCAATTTGACATACATTTTTTTAAACTTAACTGTAGCGGAATTATGATTGATTGGTGACCGTTTGAGTACCATTACTAGTGTCACTTAGGATCGGGCACAACTAATATTGTCTATGGTCCCAAGAATAGACAACAAATATTTTGTTCTTTGTTATATTTCTCGTTGTTCTGCATATTTATTTTGTGATCCAAAGATGTTAACTTAAATAGGACAGTACTTAAGCCTTACTTATCATCGTATAAATAGCATAGGTCTAATTATCTCAAAATAATGAATGTAAAGCGGCACCTGGTGTGAAGACGATGTGCGGGGGCGAGAGCGGATGTTACGCCAAATAAAGATTGCCGGCGGCGCGGCGCGTGCAGATGCCGCGGCCAGGCCGCCCGGTAGCTATTCGTAGGTAGCGACTATTGATTTTGTCCACCCCAGATCGCTTTCGCCCCGCGCCGCATACATATAAACCGTCGAACTCTATTTCCTATCTATTATTATCATTTTATAAAAGCGCCCTAAATTTCCAGATTGATTCTTTATATACTTCTCTTTCAAATCTAGTTAATAATCTTTACAAATAAACTTTCAGTTCTTTAATATTGTCCTAACTTATAGTATTTTTTTTTATTTATTATGACAGCTATGTCTGTTTTGCATGTAAAATATTGACTTAAAACTTTTAAATCTATTCAAGATACCACTTCAACATCATGCAGGATTGTGATCATGCGCTAGTTTCATCATCATCGCAAATATACTTATAATTTAATAATTAATTAAATCAAATTAAAACGGAAAACCAAAATAACAAAAACTAAGTTGTAGCGAGCAACGCACATTAAATCAATTAGCCAACTTTCCTTAAAGCGTACATAAAAAATATGATATTCAGTATGAGTAAGGAATTTTTGGAGCCTTCCGCGAATTTTCCGATTATAAAACCGGTCAAGCCTGGGA